TATTATTATTATTATTATTATTATTATTATTATTATTATTATTATTATTATTATTATAAGGAAGAGATCATTCCATATCCTGACATATCTGGTAGATACGTCAGGCTGTTATGAGTCAATTGGAGATTGTTTAAGTGCTCAAAAGTTCTAGATTGTTGTTACTGAAAATGTTCTGGAAGCTAAACTGGATATTCCATTAGATATTCAGATTCAAAAAACAAAGTTCTTATTGCAGACATTTGTTTTCTTACTTTATTGGTAGTATGCAAATCTGGTTTTTGGGGACAAGATTGTTCATTGAACTGCAATAACGAAGAAAACGGTTGCTTGGGAAACCTATTCTGCCCGGCAACTCCTCTTGGATGCTCATGTTTACCCGGATTTCAAGGATCTGATTGCAAAGATGGTAACATAATATGTAGTTTATGGTGGGTTGTGATAGTAGTATAGTAGTAATTGTGGTAGTGGTAATGGTAGTGGTCGTGGTCGTAGCAGGAGCAGCGGCAGCCGCAACTGCAATAGTAGCAGTGCAGTAGTAGTAGCAGCAGCTAATAATACATTGTATCGTACTAGTACCGCAGTGTCAATGTTTTATTTCCTTTCAGTGTGTAGAGATGGCTTTTATGGCCCAGATTGTAAACAAGTCTGTAACTGTCCATTATCACATTGTGACCCAGTCTTCGGATGTGCCCCTGGCTCCTGTTATCCGGGATATGGTGGACCTCAATGTCAAGGTATTCTGGCCATTACATGATGTACCGTTACTACAGTATACTTAAATTATTTCTCAGTGGCTGTAATAAACAAGATACTATTTTACTTTTAGAACATAATGGCAATGTTTCGTGTACCAATAGTACGTTCGGACCGCTATGTAACCGTCACTGCCATTGTAAAAATTCGGATACATGCCATGATAATGGCACGTGCAAAGATGGAGTCTGTGGTAACGGATGGGCTGGACGTGATTGTCAAATAGGTAAACGAACAATAGTTGACTGATTTGCTAATGAAAATGAATATAGTTATAATGACAAAAAATAAATATTGTATAGATCTGTAATTTTCCTCACATCATTTCCGGTACACAATCATTATAAACTTATCTATCAAATATAATATGGAATAACATTTAAAACTATCTTGAGGAACGAGTGATAATTACCTATTATTATTATTATGTACTACATTTTTTTTTCTTTTTTGATTGGTTTCAAGTTCAGTCTATGTATGTCTTTTGCGAATGGTTAACGTAACTGTACCGTACAGTCATAAACAATATTATACTCGATAAGACCTATTTATACCTCCAAGGAAATATTCAAAATGCGTTGTTTACCTGCAGCTCTACCGTATCTTGCATACGGCCCAACATTATCTGTTTCTAAAAATCGCCGAGAGATCTTCGTAAGTTGGTTTGATTGGACATTTGGTCGTGACTTCGGAACTGGTCCAGTCGTATTGTATGAAATATTCTACAAGGACGCAATCAATGGTAACTACACCACAGGTGGTACTACTGAAACTACTGGTTTTCTCTTGAATAAACTAAGACCAGGGAAGCAGTACAATGTTGCCATCAAGTGTTTGAAATATGTTGATGGACACCTAGTGCCTGGACCAGCAAGTTCATTTACTGCCGTTTCAACTTGCAGATTGGCAGGTAGTAGCCTTTACAGTAATTCCAATTAAACTAACATTTCGTCTTTGAATCTGGCATTCAGTTTTGGATAAAACAATATAGTATTAGTAAAATACAACGATAAAACAAGTGTGTGTATACTAAAACGCCTATTAGTTTACACACGATTTTTGTGAAGATCAGTGAAAACGCATCCACCACTAACTTTGAAATTACTGTAGATATAATTTACCTGTGCACAGGCTAAAGTAGAAGCATATACGTAAAAAAAATCGAATGTTGTGCATGAGTGACGCCTGCCGCCAGTCAGATAATACAAAATGTTGCTTTAGAGACAACATGGCTCACGCCTACTCGTTGGCTCAATTCATTCTTGTTCTTGTGTTTAATATAGCACAGCATCTTTCGGATAAGAGATTCAGTTTAGTAGTCGTATACAAGTTTAAAACACTTCAATAGAAGTTTTTCCTGTTTGCTACCAGAAGGACCTAGATTATCCTTCAGGGGTGGATCCAGAGATATCCGAAAAGGGGCCGAAAGTGGGGACAGATAGAGATAATTTTTTTTCTAGACGCCCGTTAATAACCTCTGATGCGTTTTGGGAGATCAATTATTTTCCTTTTGCAATGTGTTTCCTTTTTTTCCCCCTTTTTCTTTTGACTTTCAAAATGGGGGGGGGGGGAAGAATGAGGCATGCCCCGCCCCTAAATGATCTCCTGTCCTTGGTGAGTTTCACCCGAGAGAAAATCAACCAATGTTCATATCTAATACTAGTAATATATTTCTTCATAACAATATTTTATTTATTTCCAGATTTGTAGAGAGCGCCACTCTTTTGATGTTCGGTTGCCATACAGTACAAGTATTCTATCGGTTTTCAGCCCCATGAATTAAAATAGAGTTTAGTAATAACAAATATGGTTGCTGAGAAAAGACATTAGATATTTATTAATAATCGCATGATTATAAATAATTACAATACGATATGAAGTATTTTAAAATACTAATAATGCTTGTGTTTATCTTAAATAGTATTAACAAAAAATAATTCAGTATTGTGTAATACAGTAATTAGTACTATTATTTGTTATCATCTGTATCATTTTTATTATTATCAATATTATATCAACACTATTGTCTTCATACCTTTTTCATTAATACTAGTATCATCAGTGGCATTGCTATCATTATCAGTAGAATTGCCCATCATTTGCCTGTTTGGACTATACAGATATTTTTTTCCTGATGACGATTGAAGCAACATAGAGAAATTCTGAACAAAAACAACTTCTATGTACTTAAAATTCTTTGATTACTTTGTATCTGTCCAAACCCTGATAAATATTATTATACTGCACAATGTGTAATATGTGTGTATTTGTTCAATAAAAAAAAAATGATTAGGGCGTATAAAACCTGAAAAGAACCGATTTGGTTACATTTTAAGAATCTTGACTCTTGTTGTTATAATGTTCATTGTAATGGTTTTATATTTATTTAGAAACTTACACAATAACAATTAGAATGCACTGAAAACCAATAAACACAAAAAGCTATATATATCCGTACATTGTTTATCGTTTCAACAGACGGCTAGGAAAAAACACTTTCGCAAACTGTCGAAGTCGTGTCCATGTATATGTATTCTGGTTGGGAATACGGGCTTGATGTGAACGTAGCCATGGGCAGCTTTAGGATAAGCCTGCACCTATACACTACTATGTTGGCGGTGCCATATCAAGTAAAGGGAGGTGCAACTTTTCATGGGAAAAAAAATAATTAAACAGTTAGACTAGATACAAGATTATCAGTCATTTACTTTTACTTAAAAAATTGAATAACATTTAAGAGGTACGCATCCTGAGGCAATTATTAAAACCAGGCGCACAACCTTGATCTTTTTATGTTTCAACTTTTATATTATTAGAAATGAATAAATAATAATGATATATCAACAAGTAGGCTTATAGGCTTTATTGTTGTTTAGTATTATGTTACGCAGCACAGCATGCACACAGACGAGTTCATACGCAATCATGGTTTGTAAAAGATGAACCTTGGTTTGTAAAAGACAAACCCAAACCTTGGTTAATTATAAAGACAACCCATTGTTTGTCTTTTTCTAATAAAAAATCATTGTCTTACAAGCCATGGTTTGTTTTTCGCAAAAGACAAACCATGGCTTGTGAAAGACAAATCATGTTTGTAAAAGACTATGTTTTGTCAGAAAAAAGACAAATGTCTGTATTATAGACAAACCAAGGAACAGTGAAATTAATTTCACTGTTCCTTGGACAAACGATGGTCTGTAATAAGACAAAACATGGTTTGTTTTTACAAAATAAGAACGTTTGTATTTTACAAACATGATTTGGATTTCTGTGACCAAAAGACAAACCATGGTTTTGAGGTTGCATTAGGCCTACAAGTACAAGATTGCTACTGATGGTTATTAGTTTTATGTGTACAGTATTGTTAATTATTGCCAATACCATAAAATGTTCGCTACAAGATCCATTGCTGACCAATTTGCTATTATTTTTTTTTTAAACAATTCTCAATAGGCCTATATACAGTACTGAAGAAATATATATTGCGGTATACTATTTAGTTATTTTTTTCATAAATCAGGTGCCGATGGGATCACTATGCGCAGCAAAATAAAACTCTTCCAACTTGAGACTTCTGCAGTAAAATTAAAAACAGCAAACAAGAGGCGGGTGGACATATCAATCATCAATGCAACGTAGATCAATGAATATACAGTTTTAGTTTGAAAACTAATAGATTGATTGCCAAATTTATATAAATTGCACATGTGCTACGGTACGTAGCACCAGTGGCGTCGTTTAACCAGCGAGTTTTCACGGTGCATAGGCAACCCCCTTTTTTGTTCAAACGTCAAATATATCCAGAAAGTTTAGGAATAATGCAGCATCTCTATCATTGACGTTATCCACATGGAAATTGAAATCCCCAACAATAAGTAAATTAGAGCAATTTACACTAACTGATTCAAGTAAAGAGCAAAATTCGTCAAAGAACAAAGATGATGTAAGCTTGTTCTTAGTGTTCGGGGGAATCCTGTAAATAACAACTAAATGAAATGAAGTAGCAAGTGAGGATAATGTAACCTTAGAGCATTCCATTGATTTAAAATGAGGAGACTCACATTTGTGGATATGAGTACCATCCCGGACAACAACGACAATGCCCCCACCTCGACTGTGAGTACGAGGGGTATGAACAACATTGTAGTTTGGCAAAATTGTTTTTATGTCTGCAACGACAGGGCCATCTCTACTACTCTCTCCAGTCAGCCACGTCTCAACAACAGCCAGAATATCAAGATGGTTGTCGATAATAAAATCACAGAGCGTAGTTGATTTATTTCTAGCTCTAATAGACCTGGCATTCCATGTTGCTAAGTTAATTTTTGCACCTGGGTGACAAGAATGGTGGGGGCTAACATAGGGATAGCCTAAATTGTTAACACCAATGCAACGTAGATCAATGAATATACAGTCTTAGTTTGAAAACTAATAGATTGATTGCCAAATTTATATAAATTGCACATGTGCTACGGTACGTAGCAGCAGTGGCGTCGTTTAACCAGCGAGTTTTCACGGTGCATAGGCAACCCCTTTTTGTTCAAACCTGAAAAAATAATAGTAGATTAATGGAAATAAATGGCGAAGTAAGTTACTGTACCGTAAAAGTAGCCTTAGCATAGTTTTGCGCCTTGCATAAAGTTCAGTGGATGATATACTATTCAGCACCCCCCCCCCCTTTTAAAAATCCTGGATACAATGCATGTAGTGCTCAGCAGCGTAAGATGCTTAAAAGGATAATGCAGGTCTCCCTCTAATTGAAGACCCTCCAATTTTCTGTGGTCCAAAATTAACAAATATCTTTTATCTTAATTATTTATTTTAATTAGAGATCAAAGCTGCGAAAACTGTAGAAGTAATCAAAAAATAGAATAAATATAGAACGATGCCAATTTTCAAGTTGTTTTTATGACAGAAAGAAAACACTTGAATTGAAGTTGGTAGTACATTATATACTTAAAATGTGCCCCTCCCTAAATCCGCCCCTTTCATCATCAACATCATCATCAGTGTGACCATTTTCATTGTTTTATACTCAGCAAACTACAGTATTTACCAATTTGATTAGATAAATTGCTCAATAGAAAGAATTCTCCAGTAAACTTCAGATTCAAATGTTTTTTGTTTAATCAGTCAGACTGATGCATGCACACAATATTACAGATAATTAGATTGAAACATGATTGCAAATTATAATATCGATTTAATAGCAGTGATGTTTTACCCTACCTTACGTGCTGTCGTGATGAATACTCAGTACATTCCCAAATACTTGCGAAAAAATATCTCCTGACTGAAACAGCATTGAAATAGCATTGCCTTAGCCACTATACGCAAGCTCGGTGGTCTAGTGTTTATGACATCAGGAATCACAAGATTTTGTTTTCGCAAGTATTTGGGAACACACTGAGTATTCAGTATGCTAACACGTCAGGTAGAATCATTCCTATGAAATTTCCTGACAACATTGAAATGGCAATGTATTGTACAACAAATCAAAAAGTAGAAAAAAGAATGGCACATAAAATGAATAGTGATAGATTAAAACAATGATCATGAACTCTGAACTGACATTTTTAAAAGGTATCTCTGATGGCCGCATAATCTTAACATTTTGAATATTTGAACATTTTTTAAACTTTCATTTGTTTTAAAATCGTTATAAATATCTTCAATAATAAACAAAAATCTTAATAAATGCTGTTTTATGAGTGCTGTTAATGGTAGGAACAAAACAGAATATTATTGAAAAATATTGATGCAACTTTAATACTATCTATCATCATCATTTCCTGGACAAATAAAATACAGGACACCAAACTATATACTTCAGGCAAGTAAAACTAAATAAGGATGGGCAATCATAATCGATATTCAAAAGGAAATGAAGTGAATTAGAATCAGCAAATCCAAACCGAGATACAAATCTCTTGACAACAATTTTTAATACATTTCATCAATATTATTTTAACCAAAATTTCTTAAAATACATAAGGAGCCCAGTCACACGAATGAACTCAAACATTACCTCCAACCAAAAACTAAAAAACAAATAAATATTTATTCTATTATCATTCATATAAAGCTGCACACAACTACAAAGTGTTTTTTTTTACCCCACTTAAGAGTTGAACAGTTACTTTATCAAGATTAAGGCAGTAAGAAATAAAATGAAGATATTGATGAAACATTTTTTTAAATGCAACTATGTAGTACAAAGAGAAAGCATGCAAAGGAATTACTGTTCTTTAAGCGAAACTTTTATATTTTCAGATTCATATTCTTCGAAAATTGTTGTAAAAAATGTATTTGCAATCAAATCAGCTACCATACAGTAGTTTCCCGAATATAAGTTGGAGTAGATTTGTTAAAATCCTTAAGGTCATAGCCTGCATACCTTTCTCAGTATAGGATTATTCAAATTAAAGTGCATTCCACATCCAAAACTTGATCCTGAATTAAGAATGTTCCAGATCCAAGGATGCAGCCTACAAACTCCGAAACTAACTATAATTAAATACAGACTTGCAGCTTAAAAGTTAAATTCCATCCGTCGAACATACATAAAGACTGAGGCTGATGGCTTAATCTACTTTAACAAATGATATACATTTTTTTAATACTGTGTATACAGTAAGATAAATAAAATGATTAAAAAAAATTTATATACAGTAGCCCTTTTACTCGCAAAAGTACAGACATATTTCCAGTGGGGTCCTTTTTGTTGGTGAATTGTTCATTACAATGCCAAACAATCCCCTAGTCTTTTTCCAATGAGATTACTTACTCTTTAACATGCACATGGGCCAGTGCACATGGTAACTTGTATTTCAGGGTTCCAGCTGAAACACACGGTGAGAAATCAATGGAATTTAAACCCGGCACCATTATAATTTGGAGGGATTTTCATAGTTCAGCACACACAGAAGCTACCACCAGTTTAGCTAAATGAACTAAGCTGCTCTTAAAAATTGCTAACAATAACAGCAGTAGCTGATTTCTACGTTTAATAATTAATATAATTTAATAATTTCCATATATGAATAGAAATTTCTTTTTAGAGTTAAAATATCTTCTATGGTTAAGAGAGGCATTGATGTGTTGTCATAGTCAACATGGCCATCAAAATTATTCATATTTTTCCTACATTTAAAACTGAGGCAACAGTGGGCAATTCTCATCAACAACATGACGATGACGCTGATGATCATAATAAGATGATTTAAAGGCTAGCGCCAATGCCCCTTCAATGGTCTGCTTCTTCTGTTTCTTCTGTGGGCACTTTTGACATATAGCTTTCGCTTTCTATTCTTTTTCACTCGCAAGAGCTCTCTAGTTGCTAAAAAGAAAAGATAGGTTCCATATTCTAAGGTACTGTACAATAGCTCACATACCTGATTCCACACGATACAATGTTCATTAGCCTTAAATAAATTATTAATTCTGATTGGATGATGTCCAATCAGAATTAAGAATTTGTTTAAGACTAGTGTAAATATAGCCCCCTGCCTTAATAGGTTCGCACAGGCGGACATCTGAACCTCACCTTCTATTGTTCTTGTTTTTGTTACCAGAACTTAAAAGGGTCCAGCGTCGCCAGTTTTGGAACGGATGTGCAGGAAATTTTGTACAAACTAGAAGTGATTTCCAAAAAAAAGTTCATGGCACCCCTCACCACCAACAACAAAACATGGGTTTCAGCAAAGACTGTACATTACTGCCATTACCACAGTAATAGGACACATCGCATACACGTCGGTTAACGATGTGTTCAGAACCAAAGTTTGTGAGTTTGAATCATGTCTTGGTATTCAATTTTCAATTTTTTTCAATTTTAAGACATTTTTATTTTCTCAGTTTTTAGACATGTTAATTTTGTACAAATAAATATTATAATTATATATCTGAGGCCAGTAAGGTGCAAGCAGAAGTGATTTTGTCTCTCGACGTTGATGTAATTAATGGCAATTAAGAACCCTTGCCGAATAAATTTACCTATTGGAAGACAGCCCTTACAGCCAAAAATAAAACTTAATAGAGGTACCACAGTTTAACACACGTACCAGTATGCGATCGCTCTTGTTTTTACCTTTAAAGGGGAAATATCAGGGATGCGGCTGGAAGGACACACATGCGCTATTGCAATACCCTTTCGGAGAGGCAAGGGCAACAAGTTTGCCATACAATGTTATGGTGAAAGAAGTTGTTTTAAATACATTCATGAATCAGGACATTTACAGTATTAAAATGGTTGATAAAATAAACCTTAAGCACATATTACATTATTGAATAAATTCACTGGATCCAATAAGGTAAATATGGTTCTTTTATACATCCGCAAGTTTCACCCTTACTTATACTTGATTTTTGGATCAATATAAAAGAACCATAAATTTACACATATTACATTATCATGTATTTAACTTATTATTAACATTCAGCTAATTCTCTTCAGTCTAATAATAACCATAAAATGCTTCTTCTCAAGTCCATGTGGGAAGCTCTTCTTAAGCCGGCACACACTGCACCTGATGATTATCAGCTGCTGTGATTCCATGATGACAAGGTGCAAACAACCAATTGTTTTTAAGGACGATCGCTCAGTCTATCATTGAAAATCACCACAGATGGATTTATTGGCCGGCAGTCATACAACGTAGCAGGGTTGCAGCTGTAAAAAACTAGGGATGTGTGATAGACATTTTTAGGGTGGGTGAGTGATAGCATTAATAAACTCTAAATAATAAGAGTGGATTTTAAGGATGGAAAAGTGGGTTATTAAGGGTGGGTAAAGGGCCATGAAATTACCTTTGGACTGGGTGGAAAACTTCAAGGCTGGGTTGCCCTGCCCACCATAACTACTATACATCCCTGCTTTAGTAGCCATGATACTTGAACCCTTTGCTTTTAAGGGTTACAATATCCTTAATACTAAAGAGAGGATTTGATTTCGAGTCATAGATAACTTCACCATTAAAATTATGAAATTTTCTTCTAATGCAATTCACACTTGTGCAGTAGTGCACATCCCGATCATGCTTATCATACTTCTCGTTGTGCGTGACTGCCAACTCCTCTATTATTTTCTTTTTTCCAGGACAACTCTGACATTTTATTTCGACTTTCTTTTTTTTAACTCGGAAAGAGTCTGTAGCTATAAAGAAATGAAAAAATATTAAATGATAATTGACAAGTAATAATGTATCAAAAACAAACTGAAGATGAATTACTGCCAAAAAAATCCTATGTTTTAAAATAAGGTTTTTCATTGTGGGCTTCTCCATTGTACACATGGCTTCTATTCCAACTACCAAAGACCCAGGGCCTGGACAGTGTACAAATTAAGTGTGAAGTGAAGATACATACAGTATTGATACTGTATATTTTGTCTTATTTTTTAAGTAAAAATAAATAAGTGTGTTTCATTTCGAAGATGACCTGAATATATTTATTTCATCTTGAACATGAAAATGACCATTTGGGAAGAGGAAAATTGTTGAATAAGTTGGTCTACGTCTGTGAGCAATTCAACGGAGTAAGGCTGCAAGTCACAGGTTGTTACCAACTTTAAAGCTCGTCACTCACTGCATCGCACGAGTGTTGCACGACGTATCCAAATTCGCTCCGTGAGCGCTGGATGACACGATGCTGTCTGCTGATTTTCGGTGGCCGTTAAATGGGTCGTCATCAAAAATGATCAGTCGCGCTGCATTCTTCATAGAATCCCATCGGCCGACGACCGTCGGTTGCAGTGAGTGACCGGCTTTACCTACCTTTACCTTTAAAAGTATCTCGTGCAACAACGCAAATGTAATAAAAGTATAACATAGCAGTTAATATACTTACTGGCCCTGCCTTCATTTTCAGCATTAGGTAGTGATATGTTAAAAAGTCCATGCAACCAATACCATATTTCAAGAACCGGTGGTCTTTTCAACAAATCATCATCCAGGCATGCATTAAAGAATCCAGTTGTACGATAATTAGCATATCCAGGAATTACATATGTTTTCTGTTTTTTTATACTCCTTCCTGTCAGTACATAATATATGACTGTTCCTAAATTGCCAACGTCTTCTGCCAGAAAGATTAACTTTGACTGTAAATCACCATCATCTGCCCGAGGTTGGAAGTCAAATTCACGGATCTTAGCATGTCCTTCACCATTGACAATGACTGTGGAAAGGTTTAGATTTCCGTGTTTGATTCTGTTTTTGTGTAAGTATTTTAAACCATGCGCAATATCCATTACAACTTTCTGTTTCTTAGGGTCAGGTCCAACAAATTTGAAACTCTGCAAAGAGAGACACTGCGAGTGGAAAACTGCAACAGGATTACCATTCGGCATGTAAGTGAAATACTTAAACACTTCAATATTTTCATGCATTAGAGCCTTCAGCTCATTGAAATTCATTGTTGATATATGTGAAGATGAAATTGAAACATTCAAGCTGTCTTTCCCATTCCGCTTCCACACAAACTTTCCATTATCCATCTTTGTAAGTTCAGAATTAGGTATCTCAGTCATAACATCATCTGGAACAGTCAAAAAAAATTTACACAGAAATTAAACCATCACTCTATATCAATATTAAACAACTGATTACCAGATGATCCCTAAAATTTTGATCAATATACTGACAATAATTTAATTATAATAAATAATTATTGTTTATTTTAAAGATAGATTTATTACATTCATGTATATTGTGCTTTTTATTAGTTAAGTCTGCATCTTTTTGCTCTTGATGAATGCCACAATTTGACTTTGAATGACATTAAACATTAATTTTGAATTACTCTGTAGCTTAAAAACATGTTAATATACAGTATTTAGTTAAGGTAATACACCTGTTTTTGCTTTTTCTGAACATACCAATTGATATTGAAAGGGTGTGTATTTGATTAATTCACTGTTCTACTAGAATATAATTGTATCATTGATTTTTTTTTAATGTCTTTTTTTTTCAAATGGGGGGAGTACTGTTTCTTGATCGATTTTGATGCAGTTTACTGTTAAATTACAATCAAATACAAACCTAGAGAGATGGAAATCACAAATAAATATCAGTTAGAATGTATAAGAACATTCTGTGAAGATTTCTATTGGCATAATGTTGATGTTGATAAAGTCACTGGAAGGATGAGTTGTACACAAAATTGGTAATCTGTAAATACTGCAGATTTTGCAAAAAATTAGAAGTTTCAGAAAGTAGATGCGATTGCATCTGCTTCAATGAGGAAATAATGAATGCATAGTATGTAAAAATGCTAAATGATACTTCAAATAAAATACAGTCATTACCTTGCTGACTTAAACTCTGCAAGAGCTTGTCATAAAAATCATCTTTCCACCAATTGGCTGTTATTAGTAGCGCTAAACACTCTGGTATCCTCGCATCTTCTGATATTCTAACTGGAATGAGTTTTCCCTGAGTAAGGGTTTGATCATTTAGTGTTTGTGTAAGAGCAGATGCTGCAACATAAAATGCACTCTCAGTGGCTGCCTCTGATCTAAATCCAACTACTACTCTCTTGCATTTTTTCACTGGTTCAATTAGGTTTTCTAATATAAGCTTGCCAGGTATATGGTCCTTGCTGCTTAAGCATTTTACATTTTTTTTCCTCATTTGAAGGCCTTTTATCACTTGTGATTCCCAATCTGGATCATCATTAATGATATAAAAATCATAAGTTCCTTTGAATAAAAAAACAATATTTTTTATATTAGGAGGACAATTTTAAATGTATCATCTTGTTGAATCCAAAAAGATAAAATTCGCAAAAATATAGTTTTGATGTCTTTCACAATAATAAGCAGTGCTGTTTTTTTTTGTAAACTTACTGGTTTTGTTTTCAATTTTCAAAGAATCTTTTTATCTTCAGAATTATAATTAGACGATTCATGGTTACATATTCTTAAACTTTAGAAGTTTATTACACTACAAAAGTTACCTGTTTCATCTTCAACAGTATTATTTGTAACCTGTAGTTCCTCAGCTTCCTCTATTTCCATACCTGCCAAATTTAACAATTCTAAAATTATTGCTTGCGAGACTTCAAGTGTTACTATTATGGAAACAGTGGAGGGCTGTAAGGTTAATTGTATGCTTGAAGTTTTGAGAAAGGCCTTTACAGGGTCCCTACAGGAACTTTCAAAATTATTTCCAATTTCAACACATATGGTATTCTATGGCCACTGCTGTGAATCTTTCAATTTCTTCACTACAGTATTTGATTTGAAATTGAAGAGAAAAAGCTTTTCAATTTTAGGCTGCATGGTAACCACTTATATACATCACTACATCCAGTAAAATGTGGCATAAACAGATGGTTTCACATGAACCAGGCTTACCTGTTCCAACTTCACCAGTGGTATTTTCATGCTTTATCCTCTTGGTTTCTACACCTGAAAACAATGAACAGTGCATCTTAATGTGTGCAAGGGAGGATGTATGTTATGATAGAAGCTCATGGGATTTTAACTTTTATCTTGGATAAAGATAACAATAAAAATATTAAATTTGAAGATTAATTTATTTCAAGATTGTTATTTGAAATCACATAATAAAGATACGTTAGTCCAGAAAACTTTGTTTGGTTGCATTTTTTTTTGCTATATTTTTTTAAAATTGGATATGATGTAGAGTAGACATAGATAAATCAAAAAAGTATGTGCAACATTTTTTTTTTCATATGTAAGGGGGGTTGCCAGCCGTTTCAAAATGGCCGCCATTTTTTCCTAAAATTGTCACTAATATTGCTGTCTCTTATACACATCTTGGTCTGATGGTGCTCGTCTTTAATTCTAAAGTTATTGGCATCGTTTTTATGTTTGTAAAAGGTCAGCAAAGAAATCGCATGACATATGTTACTGTCTCTTAT